AACGCGAGTCTGATGATTGATCATGTCTGCTTCATAGCTGCATCTGGTCATTGATGGAAACTTCCCAAGATGTACTGATTCGGAAAATCACGTGTCCTGAAAAGTTAGCCTTCTTGCCGAAATAAGGAGAGCACATGCTCTGTCAGGAACTCTGAGACTGATACGTTCTGTTGTCTCCTCCCCTTGTCTTAGGTCTTGTCAGGAACAGGAAGGAGACGAATTCTAATGCTGATGCCTACTGTGGGATCAGAGTCTGGCCAGTGGTCTCCGGCTGTTCCTGCCGTTTGCCACTGCCTCAGCCCCTCTGCTTACGTGGCCCGTTTTACTGTTTCTGGCATCCGCGTCATGTGATTGGCTGGATGGCCCTGTCAATCTTCGATTGGTTTTCATTAGGCAAAGCTTGGCCTATTTGGGACCATTCACATTCTTCACATTCCAGACGAAGTGAAACAGGGCCCCTCCTCGGACCAGACAACGTCATGGTGAGCACCAGCGATCGAGGCACATGTCAGCGGATGCAATGAAAAATGAGCAAATGATTCACATCTGTGGTGCAAGAAGCGTCACAGGCCATTCCGCTTCTAAAAATGGGGTTCGGTACCTGGTACCTGAGGCAGTCAGGCACAAGTGCCAGGATGAGCCCTCGCATTTATACGGCCGCCCACTCGCCTGGTTCTGAGGCCCTCAGCACCCGCGTACTTTAGCAATTTAGAACTCAGTAGTGCCATCGACTTGACACCTCTAGTTGTTGTTTCATCTCCACAATTCATCAAACTATCAATAATACTATCTTTTATTCTCTAAATCTCAGTCCAGCCCATTGTTTCACACTCACTATGCCATTCTCTCGGTCCTCACGGCCATCCAGCGACCGCGCTGGATCCATCGGCTCTCACGAGAGCTACAAGAAGGTTACTCTGTCCAGCAAAGCTGATCCCAATCAAGCCTTGACTGAAGCTCAACCAAGTTCGTTGCCTTGTATCTGTTTGTCTTGTGTATATACTAACACTTCGAAAAAGTCAATCAAGCCGTATCAGGCACCCCAATGTTCTCGCTGCGATCGATGCAGCACCGCGACAAAGATGGAAATATTATTGGTTCGTCTCTTCCTAGCTTCATCGCATGCGAGTCATCAATGCTAACGACATCCAGCTGATCCCGACCGGTCCAATCCCACACGGCCCCGTCTCGAGCGACCGCTAGATACCATCCGATCGTTTCAAGCCGCCATTGAGGCCCGTCGTCGAGAAATGTGAATCATGTGATATATTGAGTTTGGGATTGGAATTGGATATATGGCGGTGCCTCTGGTGTTCAGGATTGGTATATTGCGACATGAATTATGCAGGACGGACACGTGCGATGAATTGTTTCTAGCGAGATTGTACATTACAAGACCTGGACTCTACAGCTTGTCCATATCATGAAATCAACAGTGACAGTCGATTCGACCACAGGACATCAATTATGTTTTCAATCAAACACAGATGATGCAGCATATACACTCTGTATCGGATTCATTTGAGGCCACTATTTCCCTAAGCTACCAGGAACTAAGAGTAGTTCATGTCGATCAAGCCTGCTTTGCACTAGAACACTGAATTGAAATAGGCTACCATCATTCGGTTGCAAATCCACAAAGCTTGACTCAATGGCGTATCTCCGGCCCAATTTCATGAGCACTTCTAGTTTGTACCTTAGTCTAGAGAGCGTGCTCCACCGTAAGACCGACATTCTCATTCGGGGATAAAGTCCTCCGACGGAACAAGCCCACAACTTTGACACTCACCACGAACCATCTCAACTCCGAACATAGAATCAACGCTTGGTCATAATTCGCTCAAATGACATTCAAGATGATGAAGGACAATTCAGAGTGAGTAAAAACCGGATTCCTTTATGCTATCCCACTCTTGAATCGTACATCCGCTAATAATGGTAGCCACAGTTATATCAGTCCGTCATGGCCCGCCACCATCACAATAGTGGCATCATCTCGGTCAACTCTAATTTCCAGCCCGGATTTATGAACCAATACTGGACGGTGAATGGAGTCCGGCTGTCGTCTCTTTCGCTTTTTCATTTTGCCGGCGCCTCGCTTGACGACCGGACCAGCAGTGGCTTACTGCAGTGTTGACGCGTTCATTGCCCAAAGCGGGGCCGTTGATGGCATCGCAGAAGCAGAAACAAGTCGACCGACTTGACGGGTGAAGAGTCCGCCCCCTTTGTGAGGCGGGCTGCTAATAATAATACTTCTGTCCAGCGATAGCTTACGATGGGTGTGTCGATGGCAATCTCCTGGGCGTTGTTATAGCTTTCCGTTTCCCGGCTGCTTGACCTACTGGACATATTCTGTGCTTTGTCATTCATTTTCTTCCTACTGCACTGTCTAGTCATTCGTTACTCAGTCCTTGGTTCTTTGATATCTACGACTGTTTCAGTTCATTTGAGAGGAAGAAAGGTCCAACGCCATGAAGTTTTCTCACGCTCTCATTGGGGCTGGCCTCTTGGGTACTGCTCTAGCTGGCATTGACCCTATCATCATCAAGGTATTCCCCTTGCATCCTCTGGAGGAATAGGACTAACTGTCAGAAGGGATCCAAGTTCTTCTACTCTAGCAATAACACTCAATTGTAAGGATTTTCCGTCTATCTCTCTGGACTCGTGCTAAAACTCTCAGCTACATTCGTGGTATTGCCTACCAACGTACGTGATCGCCGTCTTACATCGCACAGAAGCTAACTCCAACAGAGGACTACTCTAGCAATGGCACCACCGATGGCAGCAGCACATATATCGACCCCCTGTCGGACGCCACGCTGTGCAAGCGTGACATTCCCGTCTTCCAGGAGCTGAACACCAACACCATCCGTGTATACGCCATCGATCCGACTGCCAACCACACGGAGTGCATGCAGATGTTGGCCGATGCTGGCATCTATGTCATCTCCGATCTCTCTGACCCATCCCAGGCGATTGACCGCAGTGATCCCTCCTGGGAGACCACGCTCTACGACCGCTACACCAGCGTGATTGACGCCCTGGCACCGTACAACAACACCCTCGGCTTCTTTGCGGGCAATGAAGTTTCCAACACCGTCGGTACCACCGATGCCAGTGCCTTCGTCAAGGCCGCGGTACGGGACATAAAGGCGTACATTAAGGAGAAGGGATACCGCTCAATGGGAGTCGGCTACGCGACCAACGATGACTCCACCATCCGCGTCAACATGGCAGACTACTTCAACTGCGAGGCAAGTGACGAGTCTATCGACTTCTGGGGATACAACATCTACTCCTGGTGCGGTGATTCGTCCTACACCGAGTCCGGGTACAGCGTCCGCACGGAAGAGTTCCGCAACTACTCTGTGCCTGTCTTCTTCGCCGAGTATGGTTGCAATGAGGTCACTCCCCGCAAGTTCACCGAGATCGAGGCCCTGTTTGGAGACAAGATGAACGATGTGTGGTCGGGAGGTATCGTTTACATGTATTTCCAGGAGGACAACAACTACGGTAAGTCTCTCGATCCGGTCATCTGGCGGTAGCTGATCCGCCTAGGTCTCGTCTCTGCCGTCGACAGCACCAGCGTCAGCACCATGTCCGACTTCAAGTACTACTCCAGCCAGATCAACAACAACGCCAACCCATCCGGCACCAATAAGGCCTCGTACACTCCCACCAACACCGCCTTGCAAAGCTGCCCGACGGTCAACGGCAAGTGGCTCGCCAGCGCCAGCCCCCTCCCCCCGACCCCCAACGAGCAGCTCTGCGCCTGCATGAGCAACGCCGCCTCGTGCGTCGTCAAGGACTCCGTCAGCAGCGACGACTACAGCGACCTCTTTAGTCTTATCTGCGGCTACACCGACTGCACCGGCATCGCTCGCAACGCCACCACAGGCAGCTACGGCGCCTACGACATGTGCACCCCCAAGCAGCAGCTCAACTTCCTGCTCAACAAGTACTACTCCGAGCAGAGCTCTGCTTCCTCCGCGTGCAGCTTCGGCGGCTCGGCTACTGTCACCTCCGCTACCAAGGCGACCGGTGCCTGCAGCTCCCTTATGAAGGAGGCCGGCACCGCCGGCACCGGCACCGTCACCTCCAAGCCCACCGGCACCTCTAACTCGTCCGGCTCGTCTGCGTCGTCGACTAGCTCGTCCGGTGCGGCTGTTGCCCTTACGCGCGGCACTGCGGTGACTGTTGGCTCGTTCGAGCTGGGTGTGTATGCCATCACAGCGCTTCTGACTGCAGTCGGCATGGTCATGCTGTAAGCGGTAATTGTCTGGAGGATATGGAACAGGTTCTTCTGAATAGCTGTTTTCATTTGGCAGGTGTTTTCTTATAGAGACTTCATTTGTATCGCTCCTTTTAGTATTTTGCGCATGTTCAATTCTTTTATTGTATTCAATCTGAAGTCTATATCCTTTTTCGTAATCCCTGGACTCCACTAATCGTAGCAGTACCTATAGTTCAAGCAAAACAAAAGCTACAGCAGTATCCGAGGAAGGCAACTCGTTGCCATGTTCTGTGACGCAAAGGATCTCTGCCTTTTATGAGCACAATTTCAAACGAGGTAGTGACACAAAATATGTGTATTGGGTCGTGTTCTGCTCGTTTTATATTTATATTTTAGCTGTTGTCGGCTGTCTGTAGCTGGACAATGTCAAGGAGCCTGTGACGGTAATGTCGACTTTGCCGCTATATATAGACATGCGACAGTCCGTCAACCGATGATTCTCCATAAAGCGAATCAGATTCCTCAACAACAGAGCAAACAGCCTCAAATAGCCCTATCGCTGCTACCACACCTGGAACATGGACAATCCAATCATCTGTTTATCTATACGAGAAGGATCGACATCTGGTCTTGGATCGGTCACGTGGTTGCCAAGTTGCTATACGAGACCCCCCTCTTTGCTCGATTTCTTCTCCTGAGGGGCCTCCGTGCGAGGCTGATAAGGGACATACGTTCTTGAGGAAGCGAAATTAACAAAGATCTCGATATGGATCCGTTATTGATCGCGGGCAGCTCGACTGCCCTGAAAGCATCCTGCCACGAGGTATCTATATCCGGCTGCATCTCCATGACTACAAACTAATTCGCGGCAGATCATCTCGTTCAGTTCCAGTCTTCTCCGTGATCACGTCCCAGATGGCGACATGACAATCTCAAACACAGGCCATGACCTGAATCGTATCTGTCACGTCCTGGATGAGATCATCCTCACCTGGCGGACCCATTCGTCCATTCTGATGACGCACCCGTCTGCCAGTTTCGGGATGTGGACTTGCGTGCAGAGTAACCTGGACAACATCCGAGTCACGCTCCAGCGGCTAAGGCAAGAGCTGGAACCTGTGGTCAAGAGCGGGCAGAAGCGCACGCTGTTCAAGGTCTACGCCAAGGCGTGGAAATTAGGCTTGCATAGCTGCGCGATTATTGCGTATCGCGGCCGTCTGGAACCACATCGTAAGGCCCTGAAGGTGGGTGCCACTATGATGAACATGTAGGTCTTGTGTCTCCATGGCCCAATGGAGTCAATGGATTGTTGGTATGGAGCTGATTTTATATGAGGTGTGTGCGGCTTCAACAAAATGCATCGGCCCAAGAAAAGCAATCGTCGCTCGTTGTCTTGGACATTGAGACTAAAGATCTCGAGGCGATCGTACAGTCTATGAAGAAGCTCTCTTTTGTCTCTAGCGGGGAGACAGCTGAAAGGCAGGGGATGATTGTCGCCATGGAGGGTCTAATCAGTTCCGCAAAGTCATTTTATACCTTTGTGTCCATGGCACCGCCGGCGCATTCTGTGAATCAGGAAGGAGATGGCCATGATTCCGTCCCTCCGCCCTCGTATGCACAGGCCATGGCATCCGAAGACGGGACTGTGTCCGATGACGACACCCCCGGACCATCTCCGTTCAACGTGGCAGCCCGCGAGGGGGATTTCGAGGAAATCAAAAGGCTGGTCGCGGCTGGTGAGGACATCCTTGCTACCGGTGAGATTGGCCAATCACCCGCATATTCAGCTGCCGTCACAGGAAACACGGAAATCCTAGAGTACCTGATCGAACACGGTGCAGACTACACCTCTGGCAACGAGGACGGCTTCACCCCGCTCAACGCAGCTGCTACATTTGGTCATCCCGACGCAGTGCTTGCTCTTTTGCACCATAGAGCAGATCCAAACGTCCCATCTGTGGACGGGCAAAGCCCAATCTACTCCGCCGCGAAGCTGGGTCAACTAGGCTCGGTAAAGGTGCTTGTCGAAAATGGAGTGAACATATCAGACATGACGCATCCGAAGCAGTGCACCCCACTGAACGCGGCGGCGCACAGTGGACATCTCCATATCGTAAAGTACTTGCTCGACCAAGGAGCGGACTTGAGCATACCTACTACGAGTGGATGGACACCAATGGCATCAGCCGCCTCTGAAGGCCACGCAGAAATCGTCAAGACTCTCATAAAGCGCGGCGCGGATGTCAACGCTAGTCTTGGTGACATCGGCGCCTCGGCGTTGTATTATGCTGCAAACGCCGGCCATACTGATGTGGTCCGCATCCTTCTGGACCACGGCGCGGACACCTCCCGGGCATCGACGAATAACTGGACGCCCCTCAACGCGGCGGCATCGGAGGGCCACCTGGCAGTGGTTGAACTGCTCCTTGCCAAAGGCGCAGATGTCACAATCCCCGATTCAACGGGCTGGACGCCCTTGAACAGTGCCGCGGGCGAAGGCCACCTTGAGATCGCAGTGGCCCTGGTCAGGCACGGCGCAGACCACAGCGTCGCGGACGCGCGACGCCACACTCCGCTCTATTCAGCGGCATTCCACGGTCATCACGCTATTGCTGACCTCCTTCTCGAGCTCGGTGCAGGTGTCAACGTGACAAACAAGGATAAATGGACGCCCTTGCATGCTGCGTCCGCCAGGGGCCATGTTCAAGTAGTCCAGTCTCTTCTCGCTTGCGGGGCGAATTCCGCAACCCGCAACTCAGGTGGCTGGAGCCCTCTCAATTCAGCGGCCTGCAATGGCCATCTGGAGGTAGTCAAGCTACTCCTAAGACACGGCGCGGCTGTCGATACCCGCAATGATGACGGCTGGAGTCCCCTAACCTCCGCTGCTGGGAATGGACACACGGCCGTGGTCGAAGCCCTGCTGGATAGGAAAACGGATATCGAGACACGCAATAATAGCCGATTGACTTCCCTAGGGATTGCAGCGCGAGAGGGCTATCCAGAGACAGTAAAGGCTCTTCTATCGCGTGGTGCAGATAAAAGAGCCACGAACACCCACGGGTGGACTGCTTTACATTGCGCAGCCGAAAAAGACCAACTCGAAGCGGTTAAGATTCTCCTCGGACACGGGCTTGACATCTCTGCCAAGTCGAAGACTGGATGGACGCCGCTGAATATCGCCGCGAGCAACGGTCGGGCGACGATCGCCCAGTTCCTGCTTGCCTCCGGGGCTGATCCAAACGCGCCGCAGGATGACGGATGGACTCCGCTGCATGTTGCCACGAATGAGAATCACATCGAGGTTGTGCGAGCGCTTTTGAGGGCAGGAGCGGATCATCGAGTAAAGAACCAGAATGGAAAAACCGCTCTTGATCTTGCCAGTTCGAAGGGGTACAGAGATATAGAAGAACTTTTATTGGGGGCTGGAGTCAAACGTCTTGGCTTTTAATAAGGATTGGTTCTGTATATTTGACCTTCCATAAGATATTATCGGCAGACATACCGAACATCCTGTTTTAGTACTTGGGCCCTCAGACCTGCTTTCATAAACAGCAAGAAGCTGTACTATAATTTGTCGACAGGCATGCACGGCTCCACAGTCCGCCTCAGCTTGTGCGCTACTCAGCCCCGGCTCCCAGATTAACTCTCAACTCTTAGAGACCGATAATGCAAGTCTCAGCGCGATACCGATCAAGGTCAAGCTAGGTACTGACCACTCATATGCCGAGCAACTCCTCCAGCCTTCCAGCCGAGAGATGATAAAAATTAGGAACCCGTCTGATGCCTCTACAAGGTTGTGCGGAAGTCAATCAAGCGGATGAGGAATAGCCAGGATGTTACTGCTCAGCCTGGCAGCCTCGTGCAGCCGCTCGATTATGGCTGCTAGCTTTCGATACATTACGGCTATAGCCTGCAATGGCTGCCCTAGGATGTCTCATTGCCTGTGCTGTCCTTATGCAAAGAAAGATAAGACATAAATGTTATGATATCGCCCAAATTACAGCGGATATGCTGATACTGAACATCTTTAAGCTATGATGAACTAGTTCTGAATATTACACAGGCTATGGCTGCAAAATGCCAAGTCCAAAGAAACTGAAGCAAACATTGGCAATCACATTCTCGAATGCCCTTTCTCATCCTTTGTGTCTATTGACACAGCCATATCCAACACGTCTCCTCCTGAAGCCCCCGGACCACGCTGGACTGGATTGATCCCAGGCTTGTCAGCCTGCTTCATGGGAGGCCGGGGAGGAACTTTCGTGAAAAGTGCTGCTACGTCATCGTGCTGCGAGTCTGAGACAAGGGAAGAGGGAAATCAGAAGTACAGTTGAGCTATATCCAGCACATGCAAATTTGTTTCCGTACCCTAATAAGATCAAGCACCTAACCAAATTAGGCTAGTCAGTATATTGTATGAAAATAACCCATACTGTAATAGGCAGGTAAATGTATTGAGCTGAGTAGAATACGCAACGGATACTGGGCCTGCTTTGGCTTTCTTCCCACTCCCCACTTAGCTTGCTCGTTTGCTGTTTGCGGCTTTTTTAGTAATGTTACCTATGTGCTGGCTTTGCTTTGTACCATACGTCCATACCTATAGTCTTGGCTCATGGCACACTTGCCATCATTACTCTTGGGACACGGGATAGACTTTTTCCGTCAGATTAAGCTCGGTCCGAACTAAATCCGGTAAGGTTTCATCCCCTGTCAAGAGTACATGGCAACAACTTCGAAGGTCTCATCACATTTGATAAGCCAAACTATCAATAATGCCTTTACATCGACATCAGTCATCATTATCTGGGTTCCTGGATTTTTCAGAGCCCTTCTCCTTAAGCCCACAACAAAATCAAGCAGCAACTGCTATTCTCAATAAGCTTATCGAGGACTATGGCCCAGACCACACGGGGCAGAGGGGCTATCTACCCGCGACGCTAATTCAGACGACGTTCCAACATGTGCATGCGCTATCGAAAGATGCCTTCTTGAACTTCTTCTTTTTGTACATCTATGACCATCTCGATTTGGTAAACAAGAATACGGTTGTGTCTGATATTTCCCTTGTGCTAGCGTATCTTGACGGGTTCTCCTCCTTTGATACAGACAAGAAAAGCAAGATTCGATGCTCTGTTGAAAATTTTGCCGACTACATGGTTGACAGCTTCTTTTCTCCCCGTAAGTCTATTATAGTGTTATTGCATATCACCCATGTCGAGAGCTCTTGTTGACTCTGGTTGTTTAGTCAAGGCTTCGTCGGCGAAGACACCGCAACCGACGCCCCGTTTGTTATCCTCAATGCAGGCGTCTACGCCAACCGGTATAATTCAACGCGTGTCCGTCCTCCGAAAGAGTTGTCTTGTCCGCGATCATCATCGTTGTGTTGTGTCCCACCGGTTTGATTTGAAAGAAGCCCAGTGGCGAATAAAGCAGAATGGGGCCGAGAGCAAAGACGACGATGGTAATCTCCTCCGGAACGAACAAGGTGAATTCGAGTTTTTGGAAGTTGCTCACATACTTCCTCATTCGTTGACCTCCATGGCCTCTGGAAACACAGAATTGGTATGGACATCCTACTTGAGCCCACTCTGCCCTACTGACAGACACATTTAGAGTGACTCGAAAAAGGATGTGCTCCAAATCCTGAATATGTTCGAACCCGGCATCATCCACCTTATTGATGGACCAGATATTGACAGTCCTAAAAATGCCCTCACATTAACACATCACTATCATCGGCTGTTTGGTGAATTTGAAATATATTTCGAGCCCATAGAAGGAGAGTACAACCAGTACACGATCAAATCGACCGAAAAGGATCCTATACTTTGTGATCGATTACTCCCCATTACTCGTACGCTTAGCCTTAGCCCCAACCTTACTATTGACCCACCTTCCTCTCGACTTCTCGAAGTTCACCGTGCGATCGCTCTCATTCTCAAACTCAGCGGTGCAGGCGAGTACATAGAGAATATCCTCCGAGATATGGAAGAACTCGATGTGAAAGAAGACGGATCGACAAATTTAGGGCATTTAATGGGGCTACGATTCGGTGGTTGGTTAAAATCATTGGCTGTCTTCTGATTGCTCGTCAACGCAGCCTAAGTTATCAATTGGTGGCAATGGAATATATATACAGTTGGCTGCATACCAGTCAGTACCTGCATCTTAAATCTACGAATATAGAAGAGACGAGCTGATGTTGTCATGGCATGTGACGAACCTAACCCAGCACCAGTCCCGTCCCCACCGTAGCACGATTAAATATCATAGATCGACTGAGCCCCATAAGTAATAACTTCATCATTGGCACCGCGGACCTTACCGGGGGTGTGAGAGCACTGAACGATATAGTATTGGGCAGCGACCACCTACAGGAGCCCCTGTTGCAGCACCTCAGTCGACTGCACGCCACTAGCCAGTCCAACGCGCCACCATGGGCGCCAGGATTCTTCTATGCGGAATCCACCACAGTAGTATATTGTACTTAGTTTTGATAAGACTCTTTAAGTTCTTCAAGTTTGTCAGATAATAGGAGCGTATCCGGATTCTTCCAAGATTGTCAACTAGTCCGTCATTAAGAAATGAACATGCAGAGTATCTAATACGACTTAAGAGTCATATGCCTGTATGATCGTATGGGACGAAGGGAAGAGACTACTCATTCAAATCATACTGCTTGATGGATACACCAGCATTTTAAAAGTGTCCTTTGGCACTCTCACTCTTTGCACTGACGACATTAACACACTTTTGAAGGAAGGTACCAAACCCTTGGCTAGGCTCTTCCTCATACGCTGACCAGTTTCTCCTAATATAACCCTTCAGCTCAGCAAAGAATTCCTCAATTAGATTCAGGTCAGGTGAGTAGGGCGGCAAATATAATAGTTTCACTCCTGCATCAAAGCACATCTGCTTTATCTTAGCTAAGTAGTGGAAAGATGCATTATCCATAAGGATAGCTCTTAGTTCTGGCCACCTCCTATAGTGCTAAAGAAGCCGCCTAATAAAGTTTTCGAAGAAAGCACCATTAGTGGAACCTATAAAGACCTAAGAAAGGATGACACCATCCTATTCCTAGGTATAGGCAGGCAGTATTTGATAATGTTGGCCTTGGTGGAATTTTGATACTTGGACTGGTGTCAACCCAGCGGAGACCAACCTGTCCATCTAAACCCTATCCATCTATCATAACCAGACTCATCAACATAGACCAAGTGATATGAATTGAACTCAGACAGTTTGTTCAGGTAGACATCTCATAGGTTAGGGTTCTGCTCTTCTACTTTCTGTTAGCTTTCTTTTTGGTCTAACCAGCATAAGAAAGAGCTCTCTTAACACTAGCTATTAATGTTAATATGACAAATTCACCTAGCAGGAAGATAACCATCTCATCAATATATAGGCCAGGTTTTTCAGTGAGATGATCACAGAGAGCGTCAAGCATTGGAGGTGTAATACTTCTAGGCCAGCCAGCATAAACTAGAGGCGGGCTAGCACTGCTAAATAGCTGTATGCATAATAGTACGCTCACTACATCCAGCAGCCTTAGCCATCTGCGATGTAGTTAATGATTTACTCTGAATCATATAACAGATAATTCACACTTCCATGGCTGAAGATTGTGTGCCATTTCAGCAAGTTAGTCTGTCTACAGAACAATGCAAGTGGCATATTCTGAGTGCTTTGACACTAAAAAGCCAACATGGCCTGTAATAACTTGGTACACTCATAAAACAACAAGCTCAGTAATGTATACGTTTCATAATATACCACTCAACTTCATATGACCCTGATAATTGCAGTCTAACAGTCTAACCATTACTCGACAAGACCCCACAGTAGCCATCTTGGCATTTAGGGTTCAGAAACAAACTGCTCATGCTTGGATATGGAAGGCAATTTTGAGCGTGACTGTACACTTGCTTTTCTACGAATGACTGGACCAACACAAGCTCATATAGGGATAGAGCCCCTGTATCAAGAGTATCCCAAAGCACAACCGTGCACAATGTCGATGAGACATCATGATTCATGTCATGCTGCCATCTGCAGTGATTTAGCTTGATGATCGTCGGATGACTTACGGCCGAAGAGCAGGGGCAGGTGTGGACTATTATGGCAATGACTAGCGGTCAGCATTGTGATGAGGTTCCCAAGCATCATAGCCACCCGTAGGCGACTTTTCTCCACAGTTGGTGGACAGTATTGGCATGAGATGATGGCAACAGGTGAACCCCGTCTTGAGCATTGACAATGGGGGAGGAGATGACCACTTCTGATGATCAAGCAAGGGTTAGGAATGGCGAAGACATCATCCCATGTTGCTAATTGGGCTGGCTTGCATTACTACTTCGCCAGGGTGTACTACTGCGGAAAGAACTGGTTGAGATTCAATGCAACTCTCCCTCTGTAAGCAGAGTAGCATGAGTATGCGCCGTGGTTGTGACATGCCTGCTGAATTTGATACCATTCACATACGTTGTAGGCTTGTATTGTCCTCTTGTGACTGGCACTGACATGTCTCATCATTTATGATACTCATGTTATATCAAAGTTACATCATCTTACAATACTTGCAACTACTCAGGACAGAGCCAAGATACGTCAGACAAGTCAGTCTCTATGATAGCAAGGTCATCGTGTTCGTCATTAACAATAGCGCCATGAACTCCAAACTATTGCAACCATAATGAGGTAGAGGGGTAGAACCAAATCAAATGACATCAATAGTATGGTCCAGCCATTCACTCGTCCCAACCTCAGTATTCCTTCTCGAACAAGACCCCAGCATTATAGCTTCTCATCAGGCGGACGCGAGCCGATCGATTTTCTCTTCTCCTTTCGTAAGTTCCTCTCCGCTTCAAAAAGGAAGGACTGGACGCATTTGCTGCCGTCTGGGTTTTTTCTTACTCGTTGATCATTCAGCAGCGCCGTCAGGGTGGCCTTGATGCTGTTGTGGTATTCGCGGATCTGGACGTCAATGTTGCTGCCGGGGGAGACATATTTGGCTGGAGAGGAGTCGTGGTCGTTGGCTGTGGAGGTATAGGAGGCGGATCGTTTGTCGGCAATGCCCGAGTGGAGGGTAGGCAGCTGGTTGGCAGACGCTGCCGGCTGCGGGGATGGATGAAGGGGGACCATTTTGTGTGCAGTTGCAGTTGCAGTAGCAGTCGCTGTTCTAGATATTGTCTTGAGAAGAAGTAATTGAATAAGCCTGAAGCTGAACTGCGAGTCTGTCCGTCTTATAGCTTAGCTCGTGAAGCTCAACGTACCTGTCCTCAGACCTCAGAACGCATCGACCCTCGTTACGCCACAGGTTACCCTAGTTCGTCTGTATACATAGCAGCCCTTGGCATTCGTAATATGCGCCAATCGAAACAAGGTAGCGATCTGCTTGCAGCATCATACCCACGGCGCGGCCCCTCTTGCTGATCCTGGCTGTGTCTTCCTGCCAATGAAGAGCTTGATGCCATCATCCGGCTGTCAGGCTAGAGTCTCTACTGTCTACAGGGTTTGGACGTGTCGTGCCGGTTTCGTGATATCACACCTATTGCACACTTGTCCAACTTGGGTCTACGTTTAGGGTATAAGGGGTACTTTCTGCATGAATAATCCTCGTGTCATGGTAATTCTTCATTGTAGATAGTATCATGCCACCGCTTATATCATTCTGACTGTGGGTTTGTTGGATACATTCTGGATACTACTCTATTGCCAGGTTCATTTCGCCTCCGGCCGAACCTCATGGCCTGTGCTCACTGTGGGCGCCGGCTAGACTGAAGGCGATTTACTCTCGTGTACGCCTTATGCCTATCATTCTCCAGGTTCGTCCCTTCTTGGTCACCTGTGGGTCCATCTCTCTGAACTATGACATTTCTAGAGGCGTTCCAGCCTCAATCCCATAGACGTAGATGTGTTTTCGCCCCTGGATATGTACAATCTGGGTGTCCAACAACATGTTAGCAAATGACCTCACCGTATGCAGTTTCCTGGTTTTATAGCTTCAGACAGGTACAGGGGCACCGAACGTCAGGATGACTCAATTGTGTTGATCTCCACGTGGCAGGCTCATTCCGAACTGAGTAACAAGAGGTATGCTGGTTATGTGTCATGAAGTAGGAATGTGCTACCTGTACATGTCTAAAGGATTCAAAGTCTTGAGTAGATGTTAGATACGAATAACGACAATAGGTCCCGTTTTCAGGAGATCTATGGACAATACTATGACGCTGTGTAGTTGAGGTGACCTCAATAGCCTCATCGATACATCAAGGCCACACACCTGACGTCATTGGTTGCTGGTCGCTGGTGCAACCGGGAAGCTTGGCATTATCTGCAGTAGACAAGTACATATGACAGAGCAAAGAAAAGCATTCCACAGAGTAGTCTATCTATCCTTACCCAGACTATCTTTGTTCCCCTGCTCCATTCACAAGCCCACCTAGCCAAGCATCCCAAGCATCCCAAACACCCCCACGTCATAAAAGCGGGCCCTAGATCGCCGCCGTAGACTGCCCTTCAGCAGATTCCGCCTCAGCCAAATATCGGAAACGACCATAGAGATGGCTTGGCAGAACTTTGCGCAGACCACTCCCCAAATAATACATACTGATTTGAACGACTGCTGTTTTGTTGCCCCTGATTGCCGACTGCGGCTCGGCTCCGACACCGGCATTCTCGGGAATCATGACTATCTCTAATATGGTCTTGATGATGCCGAGGAGAGCAGGCGATCAATTGTGTCTAGACAACTGATGGAATTGCCTCTAACATAAAAGAAACGAATATACAACAGGTGGGATTTGGGGGTAATAACCAACCTAACTACTAACTGGGTGCTATCCTTTTGCCTCTACCTCTTATTCATTACTAATTCATTCCTAATCTCACACAGGTCCTTGCAAACCTCCTAGCTCTAGCCGGTGTATGCCCCTTCGTCGGTTCATTGTCAGACCTGATCAGCTGTCATGATGTTGCTATCATTGGCGCCTCTCTCATTTGTCTTGGGATGATTGTGACCAGCACAGCTCACGCAAACATGTTTATCAGTTAGTCCAAGTATATCACCCAGCTAGCCAAGATACACGTTAACAGGAAGTTTAGCTGGAATTGCAATTGCCGGTGCTGGTGCTGGTGTAGCATTTAATGGAGGAGAGCAACTCTATCTAGATAGTGAGGTATTTAGATTCCATTATTTAAGGTTGCTCTTTCAGAATTAGTTATCTCTTTAATAGTAATTAATTATAAAATAAGATAATAGATAGAGTAACCCTATAAAATATCTCTTTAGACTATAAGATTATATTCAAGAGCAGGCTACTATTATAGGCTACTATAATATGTTAATCCTTACAGGTAATTAGTTATTAAGTAATAGACTTATATTTCTAGAATATATCTATACTAATACTTAATGGTGACACACAAAATTACGCTGTCCTGAAGCGTTTTCTATGATAATGTACGCTGTCGTTGTAAAGAATTAATTTCATATCACCAATATAACAATGAGGTCAGCATCCAAAATTCGACATCCATGCCAGTGGTGTAAGCGCCATGAAACTCAGATTCTGCCATGGTAGTTCGGTTGACGTTTCGGATGGGGTCACTTGTTAAGAAAGAAAGCTTAGGAGAAAGTTTAGATTTTCTAGAGTATGAAATACCGTAAGCACAGTGCGAGTCTCCCATTTTTCGTCCCTCTTCCTCTCCGGCGTAGGCGTCAGGCTGAGACAGATGCATGTCCCTTCAGTCGCTTTAAAGTTGGAGGCAGTTGATTTAGGCCTACTGTCAGCGATAACAGCTCCGACCAGCCCATTCTATCTCCCTATAGCACGTTCGCGATCATCTATTCATAATCATCGAATTAGCCTTCAACTGAGCCCATTGGATGCCAGATCCGAACACACACCAGTCCAATAGCATCAGACTCTTTTTTCGAGCAGGTTTAGATTTCTTCTAGCGCCTGTTCAGGTCGACTCGATAAGTAGATGCACCATAGCTTCCAACAAGGAATATGTTACCGAAGCAGTGATCTACAAGCTTTCGATGTCAAACAAAGCCACGTGGCTCGAGCACTCGCCCTCATCAGGCTGCGACATCGTCCGATACCAGACGAGTCTAGTTCGTTCCCCGGGTCTGGCTCGGGACGGGAAGAGCAGGGAGAAGCATCGACATCCCAGATGTTTCATCAGAACGGAAATGGTAAATATCTCCAAGTCCCACGCCCCCTGATATTCGGCATTGTCAGTCTCACCCTAGGCAGCCGACATATATCGACCAACTGGAGGGAAGATCATGCAAGGACTCCTCCACTGTCCTACATGAATTCTTCCCGCGTGGGACGTGTGGAACAGCTTCTCTAATCACACATGTAATTAAGGTTGGTTATGATCGAACACGAAATGAATAGAATAGCAAGGCTTTCCCTGTCCACTCTCTTCCGTGTGTAGTACAGGGTCCAAGTCCCGAGTCTATGCAGGAGAAACTTCGGGCTGAACCCCTGCGTCTGAACAGCTTGACCTCGAGTTCATCCTGTCATTTTGCCTGTATCTGTACAGTCTCCCTTCCATGTTGCCCGACCGATGAATTTTGAATAACCTGCTGAATCCTTGTTGAGGTGTACCTTGTCAGCTTGTAGGGCCTTTTTCTATGCCCTCAGCATTTGGGGGGCCTGACCCACATCCTTCGGATGTTGTAAACTTGTAATTGTTTCAGCGAAGCTTGGACCTAGATTTGCTGACTAGCGGCGGTCAGTTCAGGATGAGATTGACAAGCCCAACAATAAAGTATTTTGTACTCCGTACCTTTTGAACACTTGTGGGTGGAATAGCCTGGAAAGACAGTCCGGCTTCCCAGGACAATCTCATATATACGCCAACTGAGTGGGTTTAGATAGGTTTTCTTGAACAAGACCTCCAAAGAAGGGTCATTGATTTGCTAGGCATAACCAAGGTCTTCATCATCAGTCTTTAATCGCACTTCAGACGGTTTAACTTGAATTCCCAGGGTCCCGGCTTCGTCGATTCAGCGATTGTCTTTGAGAGAGTAGCATAGTCCATACTAATGTGTTTTGATAGATCAGATTGCCGATAAGTACGCTTTTACTGTGCGAGACATGTGTTTATTCCGCGTCTAATACTGCAGGCTCTTCCTCTTTTCCACATCTTTCTGTACTCTCTGCTTCCGGAATAGATAAATCACGACTTGTGAGTAGTCAAGCGAAGGAGTCAGGGCAGCCTGCATCTCTGGGGTACAGCTGCGTGTTCTCAACTGATCCGCATTAATTATCCGTGGAGAGCCATCGCGTTTTCTCTTCGGCAGCTGTATATTGTTTAATATGCAGTTTATCTCCATGTTTCGATATGTTGTGAATCGAGGCTCAATCAATAAGACAACTATGGTCCCTTCGAAAAGGTTTGTCGGGCTAGATAGGACCACCCTCTAGGCTGCTGCCATGTCTGGGGTCTTTACTATCAGTGTCTACTTGTTATCATGTATTCTGGCTCAAGCTTGGGATGCAAAGCAATCGACAGCATTGTGGGTGGGAACTAGTCAAACAGCAGCAAATGGAAATCGAGTTAGCTACAAAAGAAAGGAAAACACAAAGTCTTTCTGTCTACCCTATTCAGAGCGCGTCCAGTTATTTCAAGGGAGGATTTGGCGCGATGGGACGATAGCGTGCGGTCCTAGCTCCGTATGGAGACCATAGTTGCTAAAGCACGGGGTCTGAAGTTTTATAGAGTAACGATGACTTGGCTCAAGGTGATCACAGCCAAGCAATTCATTCAAGCGTCTATACAGCGTAATGTTCTGATAGACTGCAATATTTTTATGGGCTAGAAAGGTTTTATGGACTATGGTCCAGACTCTATAAAGCCATTGGCATGTCATTCATAATCCTGAATTCCTGATTGTGTTGGTTCTGAAGACTCCGGTGTGTTAAGCCTACCTATACCTATCCTTTTCTTCCAAATTCTTTCTACGAAAATTACTAATTACAGAGAGCCATAATTAGAAGGACTGTTGCAATCTATATGCAAAGAAAGAAATGTGTTGATTTCTATTCCTCCCAATCTACCTATTGACGTTGATGGCTTTCCCTGCTCAGAAGATCATCACATTGTTATGCTACCATAATAGCCACACATTATGTTATAATAGATAGAATTGAACAAACAACATTCTCGTGGCCCACTTACTCGATTTGCATGGTTTGGCATGGGGTGAATGGCATTGTGTCGCCAGAATCGAAAGGTTTACACTGTTTACCATCATAGTGAATCTGTCGTCAATTGATCAATTAACATTCACCCTGGAGTCTCCAGAACTAACTTAATCAGGATTATGAATGATATGTCAATGGCTATTGTGAAGCAGGCGCTCAGCCATGCGAGTATATATCTTCTTCCTCTGCTCCGTTTCCCTCTTCTCGAGCTTTCACCGTCTAACTGTGTCATTCGAGCTTGGAAACCGTACAGAAGCTGGTCCTTCTATTTCGAAAAAATCAACTTGAATCAATATGGCGCAGCCGCTGGCAGGCTACTGGACGCTTCCTATTATTGCGTCTTACCTCACTGAGATAAACCCTGCTAATGATCCTTATCAGGAACGGATCGATCAATTGTGGTTGAATATCCTCACCCACTACTTCCCGCTGCGTGATGATCTTGGTACCGAGAGAGAAGCGCATGTTGAACCCGGAAGGATGTTTGCAGTCAACGTTGCTGTCACCAACATTCGCCAGAACCATATGCACAAAGTGATCGTGGTCGAGGCTAAGGCATTCCCGCATAACACGGACAATGGCTGGTTCAACAGGTATCCGTGGACCGAAGTTGAGGGGGAACTCAAGTTTTATATGGAGAAAATCCGTCAGAACTTCGGGAATGTGCAGACTATGTACGGAATTGCTGCTGTTGGAGATATGGTTCGTTTCTACAGGATGAACTCGCAAAACAACCCTGGTCACGCCCTTACGCCGTTTACATCTGCAGGACAACTGCTGAACGTTCACACTGATGCAGTTACAATCCATGCCATCCTGACTACGATGTCGGCGCAGATTCGGGCGGGCATAAATACATATTAAGCGACGGCAACGGGGGATAATGCTCTGAACACTAGCAAGACTAAGAGATGGCTCGTTTTGAACCAGATCTAGGGGCTTGTGCAGCAAGACTAAGGGACGGTTTTCTTAAACCAACCTAGGGGCTTGTATCATGCTTTTGCGTGATGTCGTCGCGTTCAGAATCCATTATCCTCCCCCTTCGGGGCATCCTCTCTTCGGTATACCCGAAGGCAGGGAGCCTTGAAGAGCATTTGGGCCTCAAAGAACGACTGGGAAGAGGCCTCCGTACCGTGGCCTGTGAGAGTAGTTTAGTTTCGCAAATCAACACTTGGAGTCAGTGCGAGGGAAAAGTAAATCAGTTCGTGGCCCACTTGTTAGAGAATAATCTATAGCCTTGTCTCAGGCTTAGTATCCTATATCGAGTACATAAAGCACAAATGAGCGCCATCTCTTGCCCGAGCAAACAATCGCAATGGGACTATAGAGTTACACGAAGATGCGAGAGGTGTGAGGTCCGTGTCAGTTTTGCGTCCAAACACACATGATCAATTCGACTGTTAATATAATTCGGGCTATTTGGGCTATCTAGCATAACCGGTATAGTAGGCTCAATCTCCTGGAGACCGCACCGAATTTTTAAACTGAATCACTCTCACACAGATATCACACGGATTCGAGAAGGATGGCATTATATCATTTATAGCTATCCACAACATCATCCCACTCACCCTCGGCGTATACAGACCGCTTCTTTGTCATCCCGGAAATTCCCAGATCAATCATCTTGCGGTTCTATGCGAGCGTCAAGCAGGGCAAGAAGGTGAGGGAAATAAGCACAGACTCACATCAACTACTGCAATGACATTTTCGACCTTGTCCAGGGAGACAGAATATGCAACCTGCTCTTCGTCATAGTCATGTGCCGGAAGGCCGACACTGAGAGTGTGATCAATCTCGTCAAATGCCTCCTCACCATGGTATATAGAAACGCCGTGGATCCCGTTTGCATCTTTGAGGTACACGATCCCACGTAGACCAACGACATCCATCGTCACCCGAACCCCTGGATATGGCCACGTCGTATGCCTATCGAAAGGGCTCCTGCGTGTTTTACTTGCATATCTCTCGCGTGTCATCTGCCGCGCTCCAGGGGTAGCGTAGCCAAGCATGGCGCTGGGACGACCATCATCAAAGATAAACTCGATCCCGGTGATGTTCACTTCTCCTGCTTCTTGGAGCGCAGATATGGCGATCTTGCATAACGAAGATGTTATCTCGACGGATTCAATGAATGTGTTCCGACGGGTGGTATTGTGATAATGCTGCAGGGCTGGACTGCCCCGGAAGTCGGGCGGACGGGGCCTCCCACGGTGTATAGCCGAAGCTGTGTCTCGAAGCCAGCGCAAGGCTTCCCAGGCCCGAATCTCTATTTCAAACCAATCACTACAGTTCAGACGGGCAGTGCAATGGTACAGGAGTCTCCAGTCGATCTTATGATTGCCCTCCGGCGGGAAGAGTTTCCGGACTATGGGGAGGAGAAAGCCACGTTCTCCGTTGAGGGCAAATCGCGTTCTCCAGAATTGCGAGCATGTGAAAAGTGGGATTGCAGCTCGTGTCACGTTCCGGAGGTCTAGAGCCTCCTTTGTCGGTAGCATGCTTGATATAATCACAAGAATGTCAAATGAGAGTTGTTGGAACCCATCTGTTGGATGATTGACCCAGCTTTGCACGATATTTGATGACGAGGGCTTGGGAGGGTTTTTTGCGAACCGCATCAGCTCTTCCAGACCAGGAAGGGGAAACCGGCCAGGGAGGATGGGGAATTCATGTTTGTCGTCTTGCGTTCCAGGCCAGGCCAATAGCTCTATCCGGCCTGGTAATGAAGCGGATGAAGGAAAAGTATAGTCTCTCGGTAGTGGTAAACGCTCCAATGCTTCAAAGAGACTGGTCAAATGAAGTTTATCAGGGCCGAAATGTTCCAAGAGACGACGCCAGCATGGCTCCTCATGAAAGAGATACACGTCCGTTCCATTCTGTATCATACTCCGGCCATTACTGAATTTTATTGACCTACACCAAGGGTCCTGTCTGAGATTGGTCACTTTCACCCCCTTCGGTGTGCAATAGACTCAATCAAGTTGAATGTATTTAGTAACATAAAGCTTCTCATGAACCGTCAGTCATAGACTCACTTGCTTTGAGCCACTTATCATTGCCCTCCCGAAGGCCGCAAACCATGCAAAAGGCTGATTGGGGATGAGAATCTCGCAGCTTTCCTGCTGAGAACATTGTTGTTGTTCGGTGGAGAAATTTGATAAAATCATAAGCTACTGTTCAAGGCTGCTTGTGGAGGCGCTGCTCAGTGCGATAAATATAACCCTCCCCGCTCGCCCGATGCAATAATACCATAATATTTATGTCAACAGGTACTCATCGCCAAGGGCCTGACCCGTATCGGTTCCGATATGGGTTCCGACATGCGTCAGGCCCTTGGCGAGGAGTAGATGAACCATGGTTGTATTCAACATGTTAGATGTGCATACATCATACAATCACCTCCAACACACAATGTCAATTCAAGTAAAGGAGTTACTTTATATAGATGCAAGTTTGAAAATAAGTCATTGTTCCGTGTGCTCAATGAGAATTACATAAGTTTGTGTTACTGCATTAACAATAGTAAAGAGTAGGTCTTTGTCACCTGCTGTATAAACAATAGGATACCATCACAGCAATAGCTGACTAACCACAAGTTGAGATGTATATATACAAGAGTCCATTCCATTCGTTTTCATTTCTCCTTTCTGTCTTTCCTCTAATAACATTGTTTCATCCTTGTACTGTGTCGTGAGTATAGATATGCTCCTTAGAACATGTGTGTCTTATCGACTGATTAAGAAGAAAGCAGCAACAGCAACAGCACCAGCACCAGCACCAATGGCGCGCATCATACAGGTAATTCCCTGTTCGGTTGACTATGTACAATTGAAGTTGAATCTGACGGATGTATTAGCAGCAAGTGATTGTCAATAAGGGGGGTTGCTTCCGAATGGAGGCCCCAGGATCGCATGAACGCCCCCGTGCCCTTCGTCAGAAGGATAAAAAAAAAATCCAAAAAAAAAAAAAAAAATTCTCAAAAGATGGATTCGTCCATCGAGACTTTGGTAAGACTTTCATTGCCACTATGTACATATAGTAGTGAGCTAAGGCTAATATATGATATTATCATATTAGCGGGCCGAAGTCTATCGGCTAGAGAAGGCTGCCGCTGCCGAAGAAGCGGAAGTCGCGCGCAAGCGCACCAAGGCCAAGGAGCTCCTAAAGGCTATCAAGGAGAAGGAGGAGGAGGAGGAGAAGGAGAAGGGGGAGGAGGAGAAGAAGAAGAAGGAGGAGAATGAGGAGGAGGAGAAGGAGGAGAAGGAGGGCATGACTGGTGCCTTGGTTCTGAGAACCAAGGAAATAGACATGAACATGGAGTAGTAAGAATCGACTCGAAAATCCACAGTGTTTCTGTACAATGCCATCGAACAAAGATCGTCTTTATATTGTCCTGTACGCTCGCGGAGGAGCTCCTACAATGGCGGGGAAAGAAGATACGTAAGTTCTGTCCCAGAAAAAGGACGAGGCCTAAAGAGTCTAATAACGTTCCTCAACTAGCTATCACTGGGCACTCCTTGTCGGGCCCAAAATCGAGGTCGAGGGAGGAAAAGGCACTCGCTACCATGCCAAAGAGAGATTCAAGCCTGGGGGGGGGGGGTTCTGAGTGGCACTTTGAAGAGCGTCCTTGCCCACTGTACCCAACCAGCATGTTACTTGTCCGGATCTTGATTGGAAAAGTGGAAGACAAGAATCGTCTTACAGCCATATTACGCAACACGCCAATCAAACAGGGCCAACCCGGCTGGAATTGTGTATGGTGGGTCAAGGAGGATGGTAGGGCTTTGGGAACTAGCATCCTGGAATGGGAGAAAGTGAGGGATAGAGCGATGTGGTTTTGCCAAAAGAAAAAGGATGAGCATCGCTTTGATGGAAAGGGCAACTTTGATATGAGCCGGGCTGCAACATATGACTTGATTGAGCAAAAAGAAACTATCCCTTGATCGGTTACCACAGACTAAAATTCACCAAAATATTTTCGGCGAGTCTCTTCCATTGCTAGCTCCTTAGGCATCGGGTCCAGAAATTTATCAATCTCATCGCGCCAGAAATTGTTCTGCGGGTTTACGTAACAAGCAGTAGTGTATTCCCAATATGATGGATACCATCCGGCTGTTTCCCAGTCGATAATACCGACAATCTTATCTCCACAAGCCAGAATATTCAAGCTGCTAAGATCACCGTGCGTAAACTTCAGTGGCCAGCTACTCTGATGCTGGATGATGAGTTCTTGGATCTCCGGGTCAAGATTTGGATGCAGGTATATGCCTTGACGTAAGTGGTTATGAAAGTCTTGAATATTGCTAAACGGTCCAAATCGCAGTGAGGGTCCAGGTAACCGACAGTCATATAGAGGTCCGCCATCAATATTTGCAATGCCACATTCCTCAGGAGGGACAAGGCCCCTCATCTCTTGGATGAACTGCCTTAGTTGTGATAAAAGCATTGCCTTTGATTCCTCACTTCGATTCACCCACCCAACTCCAATCATGTCGCCATGAATCCTTTCCATGAGAATATAGGTCCAACCGCGATGTTCGAAGGCGCAAAAGATCTTAGGCACAGGAATGGATGTATGGCTGGAAATATAACGCATCGTCGAAGCTTCAGAGAGCAGGACAAGTTCCCCATACTTGACACACAGATTGCGAGAGAGAAAAAGAACGCCTCCCTTATGCGGCCGTACATGTTTCAGGAGTTTGATGGCCACTAAGACAAGAAATCGATGCAGAGGAGTGTCATTAACAGGAGATGAATGAGTGCTGGACGAGGGACAATGGATTTCAGAGTTCAGACTGTCTGGCATTTTGATTTATGAACATGTAGATACCGATCCAAAAGATCAAATTTATCGTTCAGGGGCATTCCAGAATAGACTCCTATGGGTATTTGTAGGTAAGAAGAGCTGTCAAGGCACGATGAACCATGGCCCATGGCCTATCAATGGCAATCGGGAGGGCGGGTTTATCCGTGCCGTGAGACCCACAGTTTCATTTCCCCAGTCTACTTCAGCGATGTCAGCAGCCTCCCAGATCTTGAGGATAGAAAACTCCACTGCTGGGCATGAAACAATCTATGTAGGATTCAAAAGATAGTCCTTCTTGAAATTTGAAGCCGAAGGTATCAATAGGAAGGCCTATAAGCAAGATAACCCACTTGCGGCAGCCAGGATGATATTTTGCAAATATGCGTAGTCCTAGTCCAAGTCAGAACTAGACTGACTGGTCGTGGATTGGATATACCATGCGAATTATGGGTTGATCCACCACTTATCTAACCCACCCTCATATCCATGCGGATTGGACCGCGGATAATGAATATCCATACTACCTAGTCAGGTGACCTCTAGTATTTAGATTACTATCTATTTTTCTAGTATTCTAGCGGCCTAGCCACACCACTAGGATACCTATAATTCTATATATATAAAAATATACTCCTATCTAGGCCTAGATTCGGCTAGATAAGCTTGTCATTTCTTAGAGGCCTTAGGTCACATGCACCCAATGGGTTAACTCAACTTAACCCATATCCATGCAGATTAGGCAGGTTCAACCCATATGCACATGGGTAGGCCTGATCCAACCCAAATTGCGGATTGGGTAAACCAGTCTAGATGTACCTACAAAAAGCATTCAATAGGAAGGCAGACCTCTCTCGTCACGTTGAGTCGATGAATATTGCTCCCTGTTCTTACTGCTGTCTAGCTGAGGGATGCTCTAGACTTTTCAGCAGGAGAGACAGACGCGATGGGCATATGATGCAACACCATTTTGTTTCAGAATTACAAAGGCAGCCAGGAGTGCACGAACCAGCATGAACAGTACTAGTGCTATAAGCATTTCCTTTGCAAGTATTTTCATGGCTACGCTTTGACTGGTGATAACAGCCCTTTATCCTCTCCTTTTTCATAATGATATTCAACTCCAGTTATATCAATGTTTATTTATTTTTATTCTCCTCCTATAGAATAAGGAGATACATCTAGTGGTAAGGTACGAAGTGAGAGATACTGGCGACAAGAGTGGATTGAGTCTGCTGCAACGAGTCTTGATTCGTTGGAGACTAGAGGGCTCCCTGCCAAGATGAGATTCCTGTGGAGCCGGAATGGCCGGTCAGACTAATTGATTGGCTACATCATCACCCTCTAAACCTCCTTTAAGCTTAGTCCAAGATCGGTTAGTCGAACATCCCTCGCTGCTCAAGCAACCTGGTGCTTCCTCGTCCATTCTTTCATCAGTGTCGCAGCAGGTCGTCAAGTTTTGTCTCCTTCTATACATCCGCGTCTTGAGCACTCTGACACGCAATAACTCATCTCACCAGCACACAACTACTTATTCTCTTCGCCTTTGACGCATCAACAGAAACCGAGATTACCTTACCCCGCAGGATGCAATACACGAGTGCAGTCAGTTCGACTGGACGCTGAAGGTACTTTGGACGTTCCTTTTTGCTTCTTCCAGCAATGAGTGATATTGTTTGTCCGAGTAAAGAAGCGTACGACAGTGTCTTGCGTGAGAGTTATAAGCTCTGGTCATCATATCTCGATGCAGACGATTCCGAACCCCTTCCATTTCATTGCATCGAGCTCAAAAACATTCTTTCGCAAACACCAAGCTTCCTCGCGCACGGCATACGCCCCGCTAACAAATGCCTTTCCTTTGAGTGTGTTGAGAAAGGCACACCACCAGGACCATATGCTCTTTTCGTGAAAGGCAAGTCAAAGTGGGAGACATCGACGGGAGTTTGCGATTTGGAGCCAAAGATCACACCTCACCAACTCCTGCTGGCAACTCAAACCCCTCTAAAAGTCGAATTTGCCGATCACACTCCTTTCACGGAATGGCCGAACGTCCAGGGCCTATATGGCCACGACGAAGGCAATTATCTCACGGTTTTGCTGCTGGCATGGGCCTATATACTGTCTGTTCGGTGGGCTGAGCTCCTGGATCGCTCTCCAGATCGTCGTTGTACGGTCGAGTATCGAATGCACGGGATGGTTGAAAAATCGCATGGGAAATACGATGTGGAGGTCCCGATCGGTGATGATATTGAAGAAGGTGAAGCTCGTTGGTGGCAGGCTATTTTGCTTGGCGATAAGGGCTGGAAGATAACTACAGATTATAAGGACAAGACCTATATATCACCATGGTCTGTATCGATCCTAAATGGAACTCTCAGCCACGCAAGACCAATTTTGTTTAATAATAATTATGCACCACCCTCATCGGAAACTGCTCTCAAATACCTGGCGAGGTTCTGTGCGTATCACCGACTGTATGGCCAGTGTTCGGCTGCTCTGGCTGCGACACTCTACATTCCCTTACTCGGTGGTAGGTTAGCTACGCTACCAGTACCGAAGCCAGCCACCATATCTACCACGCAGATTCAACATCCAGCGACTTTTGTCCCTCCCCGTACCGGACCTTCACATATGGAACTCGTCGCTGAATATGGCAGGTTGCTTACTGGCTACATGACATTGAGCTCTGACGTCTGGGGTATGCGATCTTTGTTGTGCAGCACTTTTTTCAATGCCGATATTGAATGCAATTTGGTCAGTGCCTGGCTCAATCCCGCATTCGCCGTGATTGATCCGATTTTAAGAAATGGAGACATGCATAAGCTTGCCGCCCTTCTTGGCAGGCGACAGCCCCGGTTAGCAACGCTTTGGCTTGGTGCAATTATTATGGGGATAGTGAAGTCTGAGTTGCAAGATGTTAAAAACGGACTGACAGCCCTCGATCTCCACGCAGCTGCGTGGACTGGAACTAGACAGTCATTCATAACCTCGAACCCTGGGGCGAGTGATGGACAGATGATCCGCCGTGAGGATGAATGCCGACTGCTATTCATCGCTTCTAGCAATGAACATGCTCGCGCTCCCACGACCCCGTGGAAACCCTTTGGCAAATCTCGCCTCTGCGAAACCGAGCTGGAAGTCCAGAAACATGCACTATGCAATTGCCATTGTTTCAGGTACAAAGCTTGGTACTGGTGTCTCACCAACGGCGAAGAGCTACAAGATCTCGGACTTGGCCAGGCTATGTCAGATGAAACGCAATTAAATATCGAGAATGCTTGTGGATCTCCAACTATACAGTATTGTTATTCCTCTTCACAATCCTTATCCGAAGGAGCAACTCGTGGAATATTCGAATGGTTAAGGATGACGGGGTATCCGGCACGTGAGAAGACACTATATCAACATCCCTGGATTGACATTGAAAGCTCTGATGAGGAGGATCTTGACAGCACTGCATCCGACCGTGAACAATTTGCAGATTCCAGCACGAAATCTATCCAAAACTGGATTGAGGCCATTGACACTGCACCTGAATGACCGTTGCAGGGATGGACCTCTAGACTGTCAAGTCTATGTACTCTTCAAAACCGTCTGGTCCACCAGCTGGGTGATCCTTGCATTTGGCACATATAGCATATTTGCCACGATTTTCTGGGCCGCCATGATCACCGGTCTGACAGATTTTCCATTGTTTACGGCAGTCAGGCTCCTTGCAGACTTGTCGCCGGTGCCCATTGTTCCAATGGTTACATCTGCTGTTCCGACAGGAACCACTCGCACCAGAACTAGCCGTCATTGTGACTGGAAAGGTGTAAAGTACACAGCAAGCCAGATATCCTGATCGATTTAGCGTAACAAACCACTGGGGGTTCTATCTTTGTACCATACCTTAGGAGGGTTTGGGATATTGAAAGTCAATACTTAGGGCTTGGCGGAGAAAGGTTTTGGTTTTGATGTGCAGTGTGAGAATGAGAGCTTACTGAAGAGACTTTCATTGCGTTTCTTTCCCATGGAAACCACAACTTAAATACCTTGGTTTTAATAGTACTTTTGACTGTTAATATCCATCGCATCATCTCATGCAATGTTGCAGCTGACGCTTGTTAAAGCACAGGAATTCTTCCACTTCCAAGAACCCAATCAACCACTGAGAACCCTCTTTTAGTCAATCAGTCACACATGACAGCGGCTCCCGGTGACCAGGCGCTAATTTTTTATGCCTGATTGGGCGACAAACCTCATTGCTTTTTGCCCAGTGCTGCCTATACTAGACGTTGGTTTGGTGTGCTCTTCTCGCCAATCAAAGTTACCACAAATACGACAGAGCCTTCTGGACCATTCAAATGTTGAGGTCTCCCGCTTCTCGCGTTCGTCGCTGTCCATGGATATCAGAGACCCCTGATTTATTTATGAGCGCCATCCAGGGCTTGAGCATGCACCTAATATTTCGCTGCCTAGCGAGAGTAAAATGATTGTTCAGACGTTCGGGCGGATTGTGGAGGTTTGGTCTTGAAGAACGGTCTAAAGCTAGTTGCTGTAGTCTGAGCAGACTGCGCTTGGAAGTGCATTCGCAATGCTATAAGGAGGAAGATAGTCAGCCGAGTGTCTCTTAAGGGCTGAATAGTCTTGCCTGAGTGGGCCTCTGAGGCTCTTGGATTCAAGCATTGAGTAGGACGTTTGATCCTGGCCTCCGCGAGCGTATATCTATCAGGTGTTTGTGATAGTGTCTCCACGAAGATAGGGAGATCTGAGTAGTTTAAGGACCGAATTGCCAATATCTTGCGAAATTTCTGGACTGGAGTTTGAGTTCTCTCTTCGGCGCGATTGTAACTGTGCATCAACAATTCTGGGATCCTCGGTCTGTTGCGGCGCGTCAGCAACCGCTTCCCTTCGCAGATCGTTGTGCGTATTGCTCTATATCGCAGAGCCTTTTTTCTATGTGAAGAACCCTCTCACAACAACCCCTATCTGGATGCCTGCATCCGACAGTATAAAGTCTAGTTAGTCAGATGGTAGATTAGAAAGGATTATACCTTCTAAACTTTCTTATTAGTAGGTGAATTACTAGTGATTCTAAAATCTTATATGGTTCTGAGCTTTCTAATAGTTCTGAGCCTGGACTACCTTAGAGATATATAGATTTAATTATTTTTAACACCTTAATTAGTAGTTCTTGCCTGCAAGAGCCCTATCTTATATCAAAGAGATATCTTAACTGTGCTTGCGGAGTGACCAAATTGAATGGCCGAAGGGACATGACGACTCATCGGGCTCCAAGGGACTGGCAACGGCCAATTGACAATAATAATCCAAGAAATAAAAACATACGACAGCCGGGATTCGCTGGTGGTCACCCACCCAACTACTAACCAGCCGGCGTGTGGCTTAAGTACGGCTGAGCGGACGGGAAGCCCTGTTTTCCACACCCTATGGTCGTATGTGCTAGAAGTAGCTTATGGCTGGTTTATATCTCAGTAATGAGCTGCTCTTGCAGTCAGTTGCAGCAGTGACAAGAGGGTACAGTGGGTGTGGAGTGCCCAGATTGAATGGCCGAAGGCACGCCGCACAAGACGACTCAAATCTTCGGGCTTTAAAGGGACTGACAACAGCTAATTGACAATGATAATACAATTACAAACTGGCAATGATGAGAGAAGAGTTTCCACCTATTCCATGATCAGATGTCTCTTTCGCCGTATGAACTCGTGGCACTTGACCCTGTCCGGACGTCTCTAACACTCAAAAGACACCAAAACGGGATCAGATGAGGTTGGCTGCGTGGGAGGGTTCCCAGCCTGTTTGCGCGTCAGGTCTGCTTTTTTCCTCAGCACAACAACCGCGCTCATCTCCCGCATAAAGACGGCAGTAGCGATAGCATATGGTAGCGCTGGCGTTGGAGTACGCACAAGAGCTGCTCGCAGCGACAGGCTCATACAGCCGCTGCATGTGGTGGTAGCAGTTCATTGCGGTCTGCCGCGATTAGCGACTGCACTGTTTTCACTTAGCGCAAAAATGCACTCACTGATCGTCGGGGTCTATCCTGTCGCGAATATTTTATCCGTATTCGCGTCTTCGGTTGAGCTTCTGTCCCATCATGTCAACTGTGTCCCTGCTCGCCAATGCAATATGTCCGGTGTCATTGTAGCCCTGTACATCCAAAATTTGGACTTTCAAGTCCCGAAGTAGCCGTGCGCGTTCGGGGCCAGAGTAGGAACTGCCTCCTGGAGGAAGAGGAATGTGTGGGTTTTCTCTAGTCATCGATGACACATATCCGAGGATATCGGGGGCGATGGTCATGGACTTGAGGGAAAGAGCGGCAACTGCGCAGAATTGGAGTAAGATTGCACCGAAAATGAATACCGATACCCAACCAAACTTCGTACGATATACCCTGATAGCTCTGGAAGTTGTACAGAAAGTGCTGTTGAAGTTTGCCAGCCCTTCCTGAGGCGGTATTGAGAGGCGAACAGGATCCGATGCGGAGACGGTAGTGATAATGAGAGGGGCCAGTGATGCCTGCCAGTACGTATTGAACACGGTTGTGAGTCTAGTCGAGACGTCGTGTTCACTCACAGAGCTCCAATCGCGATGGTAATCTTTGAGCGAGAACAGGGAAGGTTCTCCGTAGATATAGCTGTCTGTTGGTGATGCAGCATAACTCGCTATTGGTCCAGAAGCAGCTGGGAGCTCAGTAATGAAGTTGTAAAGTGTAACCCAGTTATTAGTCATCTTCAAATCAAGGTCATGCCATGGTGTGTATGAGCTAGGGCGCCTGTCATTCTCAGATTGCCGCATGCGGTTTACGGCGCATGAATAATTTTGACATGCGATCCATGATTCTACATGGACGTAGGAAATAGAACAATTGAAAAGCGCAGCGCGAAGGGGCCCTTCGCCCAGTCTGTTTCGTGATCCGTAAAACAGATTAACATTCGCCTGGTTTCGAGCAGGAGCAGTGAAATTATAGGTTGTGTCGATGAAGAAGCTACTCATGGTCACTTCACCTATGCTATGATAGGTGGGATGCTCAAACAGATCGGTAGCATTATGCACGAGCACACTTTTGCCCATTATCTCATACACCACTTGATCCGTACTGTCATTGGCAACTAAGTGGCAATCAAGGTCAAGATATGATGACTCGACGGAGAACTCGGCATCCAGGTCGCGTGGAATGCCTTGAAGGACAATTCCAGCAAGAGATGAATAAATGATCGAATCATTGGATACGGAACTTCTCCAGGGGTTTGCAGAATTGCGTGATGAGCTAACGGGTGGCAGAGTTCGCAGAAGAGGGATCTTTGGCCATCCCCACAAGTCGCGAGGAGAGTCTTTGACCTCCTGCGAAGCGAGAAGAGACGCAGTGTACACCGCGTTGGTGGGAGTGAGGCCAGCGGTCATCGCAGAGAAGCCAATTAAATAAGAACTACCGTTCATGTTTATATATGCAGCCGAGGCGTTCCCGGAAACACTTGACGCTGCCTGTGAAACCATCCGTAGTGCACTTTGGCCTCCGATGGGTGACATCGCCCAAAGCAGGAGGACAGATACTGAGAGGAGAGTCGCATGACGCAGTGCCAGTATCGATGAGACTGTTCCTGCAAAGCTTGAACTGCCATTCAATTGTTCTAGGACCTTATAGCGCATTAGTTAGCCCCATGAGGCAACCGCTTCTTTGGACTTACCCCTAGTGGAGCGCAGTTTTGCGCCCTCCATAAGGCATAATTTCGCATCAAGCCTCCAACAATCGCTGCGAACACTATGGGGAAAACGGAAGGAAGCAGCTGTGTAGCCTGGATGATTCCGTCGCCGTACTGGGATATTTGAGTCCCGTCAAGACGGATCGCGAGAATTGCGAGTACTAGGTAATAGCTCGGTTCAGCTCACCTAGTTGCTAGAAGACGAAAGAAAAAGACAATAGCAGGGATCTTTACCGAGGAAGAGGATGGGAAAACAGGCAAGAATAGCATCCAGCGAAGTCGCGAATGGACTCGAACGGGCGTTGTTTGTCAGTTTTCGAGGAGAGCGCGACCACTTGGCCTGATCGATGCTCGGTTTCGAGGAGCATTCCGTTTCATCTTCTCCAGCCTCGCGCTCAACACTATCTAACTGAGCTGACAGAGGCTGCAGCTCATTATCTTGAGCTCTGAATTCTGACATTTTTCCAGCACGGGACGAGGCAGAGAGTCAAAACGGCTGATAGCAATAAGACAGTTGTATGATGAGTCCGGGGTATTCTCCATGGAAAAACTGAGTTGGCTTCAAGGTCGACAGAGCACAGATTCATTCCTGTTGCCTTGGCGCTAAGCCTACCCCATGATTAGTCTTGCTGGTTTGTGCAACCATGTAGATCTATCTAATAATAGGATTCCTCTCTGTAATCTAATTGAGAAAGTTATTATAGGTACTAATTATATAGGCTCACACGATTAGTACTTCACAGTTGACACTTATTTACTCTGTTTACTCCGAAATAAGTCCACAATAGTCGGATGGGGGCCGGGGCTATACGGAGTAGATCAACTAGCTTGTCAACATCCAGCATMGTCGAAGGATCATCAGCATTTTGTCCACAACGCGAGATTGCCCGTCTTGGCGGTTGGGGCCACGGGCCCACGGCCATCACGTCCAGTCGGCGCTGTCGTAAGCCAATAGAGTAACAAAGACGGGGAACTCCGCTGATCGGCATCGTCGCCTTCGCCTACCTGCGGCCGTTTGACCACTTGCCCTCAACTGGCCGCTATCACTCCTCATCCACAGACCTCCCACTTCTACGATATAATGTACTCTATACCAGGTCTAGATCAGACCACGCTAGACAGGAACCGTGTGTCTCGCCGAATTCTTGCTGATGTCCGTGAACGGCGGCAAGAATCATGGGGTTGGGTAGTCTATCGCACTACATACAAATCAGACCCAGCATTTCGCAAAGCGATTGACATTATCAATTCCTGGACCAAGCGGGAAGTCTACAAAGACCTCCATACCATGGGTCTCCAAAATGCAGACCCCACACCAAACGATGAGCTATGGGCGTGCCACCGGTTAACTGTTATGGAGGATCCAGAACAACTTAATGGTGCGTCAATCAAGGATGTGCGTTCGCATTTTGAATCTTGGGTAGAAGGACAAGGTATGCGGGATCGGTGGAATAAATACTGTGTTTGTATGATGATTGATGATGAGGTTCTTGAATTGCTGGTGAATGAGGTGCCATTAGCAGAAGAACACAAAGAAATGCATGGCATGCGCTGTGTGGAGGAGATCAACACATGGTATGTTAAGGTTATTGAGGCGTTTCCAGAAGCAGATGAAGGTGATGAAGACTATGAAGGATGGTATACAATGGTGAGACTATGGTCGTCTATGGGTGATGCGACGAATATGGTGGACTTCTGGTATAAAGTGGAGGATGGAGATAATGGAGTTTATTCAGCATGAGCGTCACCATGGTTTTTGATATGGCATTGCCTAGCTCACCCTGTGACTTAGCAGCTCTCCCCTGGAGCAGCAAGTCTTCAAGGGCACATATAACTTTTAGCCGCGTTAATAATACTGGCTCAAGTATGGCTGAGCAGACGGGAAGCTCTATTCCCCATATCCTATGGTCGTATGTGTTAGTTTCGTCCAGTCAATGTGTATTACTCTAATCTTTTATACATAGATCTCTTACGTGGACATTTCGAGGGCACTCTCCGTAGGATGAGTTCCATGGAAAGGCTGGGTGATGCTGATCATATACATTTAGACAAGGATGCAGCAAACCGTCAAAGCCTAGAAGGAACCACATTACCAGCGAGTGAAAGGCATATGAAATGTGGTTTTCTAGGATATTTAACAAACCTGACTTCCAAAATGAATACACATGTGCTTGAAAACTCGCTGTGCTGAGCCGACGCACAGGCCTTCAAGCTGATTAAAATCAATTTCATCCTGCCAATTTCAAAAAGGCTTCGATGCTAGACGATGTTTGGTAACCAAGTCGAAAAGAACCCCTACTGCTGGATTTTCGACAAAAGCTCTGACGAATATAGTCTTTCGCACTCTGCAAGTGGCGTAAGTCAAATAGTGATTGAGAGCCGGGCAAAAGAGTCCAATGGTGACTTGTGGAAGTAAGCATGCCTGAGCCCAGAAATGGACAATGAATATCTATTTTCTAATCCAACCTAAAAACCTATCCTTCGGGGCTCCGATTAAGGTTGTCGGGCTGTCCAGAATGCGATTGAGCCTTAAGGAGCAAGTGGGGTTGCTGCTGCCCTCTCTCACTCTCTCCTCTTGAGAATTCCATCTCCTCTGTAAGACACTGAACATTTGCAATCGCTCTAAATGCCTCTATTTTCCTGCTCATAAAATTTCAATTCTCGAGCTGGTGACATTCCATGCGGAAAGCAGTGCGTTCACGCTGCCCACTATCGTCCGTAGAAAGAATGGACTACGTTTTCATCAACGTCAAGAAGCCAAGGGACGCCCTCGAGCGCGCGAAAGAACGCGAGTTCCGTTCGCATGTGACACGTCAGGAATGGAAGCGATCTGGACCCCGAAAGAAAACCCTATTAGCTACAGAAGAAAACGGCGCCCGAGATCAGTTTGACACCGATTCTTCTTCCTCAGACCTCGACACAATCTGCATATCACCTGCAATAGGTGGACTCCGCGTGGACCCTTTTCAATCGTATCCTATCCCAAGTCGACCTTGGATTGCGAAGCTTGTCGATCACTGTAAGTTATTCAGTCCTGGAGATATGAAGCGATGAGAAGCGGAATTTGACGAATCTGCAAAGACTTGGTACATATGGCCGTTGATATTCCAGAGCTTGACCAGCCTGGGAACCGTGGTCTTCTGAGAACCAGGTGGTTTCCATTAGTGATGACCGAGCCTGCCTTGTTTTGGGTTGTGATGCTTCTTGCTGCATCGCATTATGCCTCTCTCCAGACACATCCTGGGAGCCTAAGAATCGACCTCCTCGATCTTCGGTGTCAAGCTATATCTTCTATCAACCAGCGTTTGGCAGACCGGCGACCCGAAGATATAGACGATGCTTTGGTAGGGGCTATAGTCAAGATGGCAAGCTATGAAGCCATGTTCGGCAGCCTTGAAAACTACAATGTTCACATGCAAGGTCTTGTGCGGGCCATCAGTTTACGAGGTGGGCTCGCAACATTGGGCCTAAACGGCTTGCTGTATCGGATCGTGGTTTGGATTGACCGCAACGCGGCATTTTTGCATGGATCTGGAACCTACTATTTTCTCGGGGCTACCTTCGTACCGGATGGAAGTTTGCCAGACCCGAATCCTGGCCATTTCCTCGGAAGCTCGTAATACCCACAATGTTGATGGAACCCGACAGAGGGAAGGGGAAGTGTCTTGAAGCACTACCCTACGAGCTTACGAGACAAAGTCGGAACGTCACTTGTCTATGACGTCAGGAATAGACTTTGACAATCCTGGACCACCCTGTGATGAGCTAGCAAAAACACCAATGGAGCTTCTCGGCCTGAGCTTTTGGGTTCGTTGCAAGTTCATAATGCTGCTTAGCATGAACGATTGTATTATTGGAAAACCATCGAGACAACTCTGTGGGGACTTCCTAATCGGGATATCACATCGGATTTCTGACCCCGCAGCTCTTAACCAATGAAACCGAGTGATTCTAAGTACGCCCCACTATTTCCGTTTATGGATCTCACACGAGTCTTCTATATGCAGGCCTCATCCTCACCACCATCAAGCTATCGCTATAACGTCACCATTGAGTTTGAATGCTATCATGGATATATAAGAGGAGTGAAGTTCCCTCAATCAAATTCTAGAGGGCACTTTATTAGTTAACCAATTACACGGAATCTTCATTGACAGTGTACCCAGACTACTACTATCCTACTCCAATACCAAGATGGCTCTCACCGGCAAGGTTGGTCTCATTACTGGCGGTGTCAAGAATCTTGGAGCCCAAACTGCCCTCGAGCTAGCCAGCGTTGGTGCTAATCTTGCCCTTCACTATCACTCAAAAGGCGGCGAGAAGGATGCAGCCGCCCTCGAGGCCGCCCTCAAGAAGAAGAATCCCTCAATCAAGGTTTCTTTCTATCAGGGTGACCTGACTTCGGCTGATGCGGTGACGAAACTATTCCAAGAGGTGCTTCGTGACTTTGGTCATGTCGATATTGTGGTCAACACGGTTGGAAAGGTACTCAAGAAGCCGATCACAGAGATCAGCGAAGAGGAATATGATACGATGTTTGCGTAAGTGCTTATGATTTTATGGTGAAGACCATGTAGCGTATTAAATCACTCACTTATGCTGCAGGGTGAACTCTAAGACAGCATTTTTTGTTCTCAAGGAAGCTGCTGCCCATGTCACGGATGGCGGAAAGATTATCACTATTGTGACTGCCCTCCTTGGCGCATTCACGGGCTACTATACTTCTTACGCTGGCAGTAAAGCTCCAGTCGAACATTTCACTCGGTATGTTGCATCCTATCGGCTCGAAACACAGGCCTAACACTATCATAGGGGAGTTTGCAAGGAACTCCAGTCTCGCAGAGTCAGTGTCAACAATGTCGCACCTGGACCAATGGACACACGTACGTCTCTGCTTGTCTCATGATTTCATGGATGGGAATCCGACTTTAATCATCATCATAGCGTTCTTCTATCCTCAGGAGTCCCCCGAAGCAGTGGAATTCCACAAAGCCAACGGCATGGGTGGCCGTCTGACTATAGTCGAGGATATCGCTCCTATCATTCGCTTCTTGTGCACTGAAGGTGCTTGGATCACTGGACAGACGATCTTTGCTAACGGTGGATACACTACTCGTTAATACATCCGAGGCTTCTCTGGTTTTGTCCTGAGAACGCAGTGGATTCTAGACACTCGCTTAAAGCGTCTTTAAATAGGTTCGGGCAGAAGTGGCAGAGTTTCTATTCAAACAGTTTGAGACCGTGCCAGGATTGCAGGATAAAGTGGAATTATCAAAATATTAATTCACGACATCTTCACAGTTTATCTCCCATTCACCACCACCTCCCCCTCCTCCCTCCTGTTCCTCCTCATTATTATTTCGTTTCATCCTCGTAGTTCTTCTCTTTGTAAGCCCCTCTGCTGACACAGCCACCTTCGCCCGCGGCGCTATCATGTTCATTTCCTCCAACCCCGCCCTTTTTGATTTCAGGCGTTGGATTGGAGTCGGGAGGTTCGTCGTTTTGTTGTTCAGCTATATTATTGTCCTGCAGATTGTCTGTGCCTTGAGCCCAGAAGCACCTTCTTTCAATGCGAAACAGCCAGTTCCGTCTTTGGAGGGTTGTTACGCAAATGAGGCTAATGGGTACAGGGCTGGAAGCGAGATGTCATATCTGTGGTGTGATTTCCCATCAAACTGCGTAGATGCACACCCTATTTGAGGCGTCTCAGAACGCTGAATCCTTGTACCAACGTCCACTTCAATGTCGGACTTATTGTTCTATTGCTCTTTGCGTCGTTGAGAAATCGAAGCATAATGGTCGGGCTGGATTTGAGGGCGTACCTTCAAAGCGAAAACAGCTGCGGTGGAGAATAGCGGGTACAGTAAGTTTCTGGGGCCCGGGGGCAAAACACTGTTTATTACTAAATTTGCGACAGCATAATGCAGGCTATTCAATTTCTCGCTAACTTCATATGGGACTTCATCATTGCAGGTTATATAGCTGGAGCCTACATACTGTAGTGAGAAAATTTCATGTATTATATACCACCTATTGCTGGCCCCTGGGTTTGTGCCACCTGCTCCGTAGCACATTTATGCCTTAATTGGATGAACGACCAAGTTACTGATAATCAGTACTTGTGGAAGTTTCAACTGCATAGACCGAAATTCCGCTGACCGTTCAGTGCCCCTGGTGCATTGCATTCCAGTCCGCACTCGGAATCGCCGGGGAACCATCATGATGTCAACGAAATGCCCGCCCACGGGGTAGAAATTCAATCAGTAGCCATGGTTCAGTGATAATCTAAGCGGTAGTAGCTCGATGTACCCATCTCACATTCATCAGTCGTAGGTCAGGACTGAGAAACAAACCATGTGCCCTAAGAATGCAAGGGCTGGTGGAGAGCACAACTTTATTCTTGACGTAGGCGCATTTGATTACAACCATTTCAGAACACAACCGGTTCGGTGGATTGAAGTCAGAACGCAAAATATGAGGCATACAATCGGTTGCAGTTAAGATACCTACTTATGGCTTTAATTAAGTATTAGTGGATGGGAGTCCACCATGGAATAAGATGGTTAATACATTAAGCATATGCTGAGAAGCTTATTAGCTTAACTTTCTAAGGTTAATAAAGGAACTTAGGAAAGCTGACACAAGCTAATCTACTAGATAAAATATGTATCTGTTTAGAATATGCTTAGACCATATTTAACTACTATTATGGAAATATTAGCACATAGACACCGTGGCTAA